GTTGGATTTCTAGAGGCACACCATCTTCGTTCTTAGCTGGAGCACACATAAATAGTAGGTAAGCCAGAGGCTCAGGAGCACAGATGACTAGGCAGGTTAGAGCCAAGAAATCAAGATATCCTTCTGCCTGTCTCCTTGAAGCACAGGTTGCTGTTAGACAGCCAGAATCAGCTCTGGGACCTTTATCAATACTCTGAGCTCAGCCTGTCCTATCCCACCTGAGGGCTGGGAGTTTGAATTGAGCCCATTGGGATTTCTTACTGGATTCTTTGGAGCAAGACACAGGGCAGGGTATAAGTTATTCCTACTGTCAGCCTCCCAATGGTAGATCAGCACCCAGAAATGGATTTATTGTAGCATGTTACTCTATTAATTTTTTAAAAATATATATGTTTATACAATAGAAAATTTCAAACCATTCTTACAAGAAGCCAGTGTTTGGGATGGATGAACTCTGGAAATACAGAATATGGCTGAGATAGTAGGCAGTAGGCAAACATACAAGGGACATTGTTTACCTCCCTCTCCACATACATGATACAGTTTAAGAAGGACCATAAAGCTGGGCATCTTCAGTCCCCTCCAATGTCAGCTGGGGCTGAGGGTGTTTAGTTAGTGCTCCATGAGACAAGGGAGACATGGAAGGAATCTTGGAGCCAAGTCCCTTACAGGGCAATTGGTATGAGGGTTCCACTGGAAAAGCATGAGTGATAGAGAGAGAAAAATACATACAGACCAGCCTGTTTTAGTCATTAAAAAACAGGTTTGTAATAAGCCTAAAAATAAAGATCTTCACTTCCTTTGAGCAGCCCTGGTTTTTTAACAAATATGACAGCTTTACATTTAGAGATCAGTGTCATCTGGACTGGAAAGGAAGGGATCTTTAGGAACTGTCTTGTCTTCCAGTAGAACCATCCCCATGTCCCTCCTTTTCTTAAGGCCCTATCCTATACCTATGTATGTACATCATGTCCCATGGGAGAGGCTGCTTCTGCCATCAGATGCACACAGGACGAAGAAGGAATTAAAACAAAGACACCAGAAAGAAAACACACTTCATATCAAGAGGAGAAAAAGAAACTGTGGAAACAAGGGGAGAGCAAGAGAGATGGGGAGAGAAGTACAAAGAAGTGCTCTCCAATACCACCTGGGAAGAACAGTGGAGAGAGCAGCCCAGATCAGGAAAGAACATGGATGTAGCCAGGCCATGAGAAGAGGAGGAGGGTGCAGTGAATACATAATGCCTGCAGGGATAAGGGGACTGTCCTCTCCTGGGAATGAAGCACATCTGACTAAAGAGCACAGAATGCCCAATATCAAACTCAGGAAAAGGCCATTTCTGCCAGGGTAGTCAAAGAGATCATTTTCTTGGTATAGAACAGATCAATCTCCCACAGCATCCCAGAAGCAACCTAGGTCCTGGCCTCTCTAAATGGACAGCAGAGGGTGCTATGGTCTCAGCTCAGGTTGGGAAAGGGAAGGCGGTCCAAAAAGTCTTAGTTGCTATACCCTCCAAATGCCTCCACCAGCTCAGCAAAGAACAGACTCATGGGAAGGAAGGAGGAAGAATAGTGGACAGCCTGGGAAGTCTGCTTTGGAGGGAGGTGGCTGAATGGTGGGGAGGAGGTTACCCTTGTTGTGATTTTCAGGGGCTCCTTGTTTTTCACCTGTTTGAACAAGAAAAAAAAGGGAGGTGGAGACCCTCTGATGTGTGTCATTGAGGGGCCAAAAGTGTCCTTAAGAGATCAGGTAGCCAATATGGTGAAGGCTCTGCCTGGACCCAGGAGCACAGCAAGGGCAGAACATCTTTCTCCAGACTGTCAATGTTGGGGAAGGGGGCAGGGAGGCCACAGGGAAAGAAACATAGTACATATACCTATATTTATTAGGATCCCTGGGATACCAAGCAGGTGTATGTGTACTCACACACACACATGTGCGTGCGCGCACACACACAAACACACGCACACACACCCCCTCAGCTAATCCCTCTTCATTAATAAGGCTATTGACAATGAGAGATTCCTGGCATTCATGTAGAAGGGCAGAACTGGCAGGTAGGCACCCCCCTCCCCACCCACCCAAAGGGATAAAATATTTCTGAGTTGTACTAAATGACCTTGGAGGTCCTTTTAACTCAGATTTTATTCTATGATTTGGCTTTATAGTTATTACAGGAATTTCTGCTTAGGCCCACAGAGTCCAGGCCCATGAATTCCTGCTTCCTTGCTCAACGGTAGGTGCCATCAGAAGAAAGCACACTCGGTTCTAAGTGTAAAAAGGGCTCCCAGGATGTTAGACTGTTTCCCCTTCACAAAAAGTCCAGACTCTAAAGGTTCCTGTCCAAAAACAACCAGAAATGGCACTGAAACTCAGGACTTTCTAATACCATACCAGCCTGGAACCTCAACCTCTACTCCCTCCATTCCTCTCTCTCTGTCTTTCTCTTTCTCTCTCTCTGTCTCTCTTTGTCTCTGTCCCTGTCTCTCTCCATAGTGTTAAACCTCTCCAGGCAGACCCCTTTTACCAGTATGTTGAGTGTGAATGGGATTTTGAAAAGAGGCATGTGAGATTGGTTTCAGTGCATTTTGACATCTTCTGCCCCACCCCCCGAATTTTTTTTGTGAATTCCAGAGAGAAAACTGGCTCTCGCTCTAGGGATAAAGGCCACCTTGCCTTGCTCCCCTGCTTCTGATCTGTCCTGAGAGCCTAGAGCACTTGAGTGCAGGCAGTTCCTTTTTCCCCTGAGTTTTCCCTAAGCCTGGACAGTTCATGCTGAAGCCTGGGTAGAGAAAAGGGACACAGGAAATGGGGAAAAGAAGGCAGGCAGCAGAGGCCAGAGCCTCCAGCCAATTTCATGCCTGGTAATCTTTAAGAACCTATCATCTCCACCCACTTGCAGGGGAAATCAAGGCCACAGAACAACCCATTTGGAAGGAAGCCTGTAGGCATGATCTGGTTTTCATTAATGTTCTCTAGGGAGTTAGAGATGGCTGTACCAAAATGGTTTCTTCTCTGCTTTTCCCAAGAGTTTGGATGGTCTGTCAACCTTATTTCAACAGGTTCCTTGTCCAGGGAATGCCCCTTGGACTCCAGCTGTCTACCAGCAGGAAAGTCTTCAAGTCGCTTGACTCATCTCACCAGAGATCCTCAGTCCATCTTGGGAAGAGGCAATAAGAGGATTGGGGGACCTGGGGGGGCTTACCGGCTTTTTCCTTCTTCCCCTCATCACTTTCTGATGCCCCTAAAAGGGTGAAAATGATTCCAGTTTGGGAATGCACACCCACCGCAGTCACTAGCATCCGGCCAGATCCTTCCATCACATGGGTCCCTGGAAAGAGTGAGAAAAGGTGACATTTCTGTATACCCAGTATTGCTCTGTGTAGCAATCTAACATTGAGACTCCACAGGATCCAGCTGCCTTTAATATTCCTGCCCTTATAGGGCAAAAATAAGCTAATCCCAGGTCCATCTTTGGACTCCATAGGAATCGTTTTGGAAAGTGCTCAAGTCAATCTTAGGACTGGAGCTAAAGGCACCTCAGAGAAGAGCTAGCTCCACTCCTTCATCTTATGATGAATCTTATGAGGGATCTGGAGTACAGAAAAATTAAGTGACTTACCCGTGTTCACATGGGCAGTAAGCAGCAGAAGTGGGGTCTGAACCCAAATACTCTGCCTTCAGAGGGAGTATTTTTCCGTTGATTCTTTAGGAGACTACTTGGTAGTGATATTGTAGAAGGGAGTAGTCCACAGGGCAGCAGGTATGACAGATGACTAGATAATCTCTGCATACCTTTTGAAAACTGAATCAAAAGAACCCCATCTAAGCTGCTGGATTTACTGAGATCAGAGGCAGCTTGGGAGAGCAAGTGATGGAGCACTGGGCCTGAAGTCAGAAAAACCTAAGTTCAAATCCAGCCTCAGACACTTCCTAGCTGGTGACCCTGGGCAAGTCACTTAACTGCTGTCTGCCTCAGTTTCCTCATATGTAAAATGGGGATAATAATAGCACCTACTTCCCAGTCACTGCTGTCAGGATAAAATGAGATAATAATTGTAAAGAGCTTACAGTGACTGGCACACAGTCAGTGCTTTGTAAATGTTAGCTATCTGCTATTATTACAAAGCCATCTGTGTGGCCCTATTACAGAATCTGAAGAAGTACAGCTGGACCAATTGGGACATCCGTGACGAGGAAGAATGAGGGGGCCACTGGGGAATGGGTGGAAAAGCCAAAGCTTCACCTGAAAGTAGCATGGGGTCTTCCTCTACAGTCTTCCTGACATGGTCAGACTCTCCAGTTAAGGCACTCTCATCAATTTTCAGATCATTCCCTTGGATCAGGATCCCATCTGCAGGCAAAAGGTCACCTGGAGAAAAAGAGGGAGGAGGGAGGAAGAGAAAATGGAGAATGATAGTAAGAGACAAAAGGAGAATGTGGGAAGGCATGGTCCTATTCTCCTCTAGTGCTCCTCCCATGGAGGCTTCCTGAAGGGTATTAGACAAGCAGGTACCACAGATAAACAGGCATCATGTGGATTGACAAAGTCCCTGCAAAATATGGGACAACCTCCAAAGACTGCGGGTACTGCTATTCCTGATGACTTCCCCCTGGGACCCAGAAAAACATTCTGGTTATTCCATAGAGCAGCAAGGTTGCATTCAATTGCACTATAGGAGGGTCTCAGACTAAGGACTTACCACTCACCTAAACTTGAACCCAGAAGCTGATAATGAAGAATATCATCTACCCAGCTCCCTTTGGTAGTTCTTAGACTCCTCCTCATACTAGGAGACCAAGGAGAGAACTATCTTGTCCATTAAGCAATGAAACAGAAAAGGCACAACAGAAATGAAGAATGGAGAAGAGCAGAACTACAATCAGGGTGAGGTGATCGATAAAGAGGATGAGGGCTGACAATACTGTCAGTGTCTCATTGAAACAACTGGACCTGGGACTTAGATTATGAGAATGAAATTTTAATTATTAAGATAATGAAAATAAAAAGCTGCCACATGCTGGCTTCATCACCCTTGCTGCTTCACCCAAGTAAGGTTTTTATCCACCCTGTCCCATTCGACTTCTTTCCCTCTGCTCCAACTCTCCAACTGCGGCAACCTCCCCAAGAGAACCTTTGCAGTATTCCAGGCTCCCTACCTGCTTCCCCAATTGAAACGGGGTGAAAAAATTACGAGTGTTGGCTATGGAGAATAGAAACCTGTCCACAAAGTAGGTAGGCAGGGAAGGGAACCTACAGCATGGGATTCTTACCATATTTGACCTGGGCGATATCTCCTACCACAATCTCAAACACAGGCAATTGGATGATCTGGCCTTTGCGGATAACAGTGAACTTCTGTTCCTGCTCAATACGGCTCTGTAGGCCCTGGAACTGCTTCTCCTTGCTCCAATCATTGAAGGCCGTCACCAGCACCACAACGATGACCGAAAATAGGATAGCTGCCCCTTCGATCCAGCCAGTCTCTGCCTCCCCTTCATATGTCACATCAATTTTGGACTGCCCACACTCTACTTCATATGGAGAAGGAAAGGAGGGGGTGTTACTGAAAAGGTCCTTGTTGACATGGTAAGTGGAGCTAACCCTCTCCGGGAGAGGTGGAATAGGGCAGGGTAGAAGAAGGTAGGCAGACTCCCAGGAAGAGGAACCACCACTGCTGGGAAAACTGGGCTTAGGTATCCACTCACCACCTGCACCACTACAGTATTAACCTGAAAGGAGCCAGAGACTCAATAGTTCAGACTGTGTGCCTACGCAAATGACAGGTAAGTCACATGTAAATAACCACCTAAGTCCAAAGGGGTCAGACTACTTCTGCCCAACAGGTTGAGCAACTTTCCATGATGCCAAGCACTTGGGCTTGCACTTTGAGGAGCAGGGCTTTGGAGGATTGGCAATATTCTACTTGTGACTAGGCATGAAGGATGAGACATAGAGAGGAATGCTATGGTAGAAATGGACCTCACTGGGTACTGGACAAAATGTCCAAATGCAGTCTGAATTAATTAGCCCGGATCCTCAACAAATCATTCTGGGTAGACAGGGAAAAAATTCTAAGTGGAGGTAGTTTATCAATAACCGCTATTAAATGTCTGCTGCTAGGACTGAACTAGGATCTTGCCCAGTCCTAAGACACTCACGCTCATGTCCGCTACCAGGAGGTCGATAGAAGGACAGGCCCAGAGAGATGATTGCTGCAACCTCCAGGATGATGAGTGTGACATCTTGTAGAGCTTCCCACACTA